CAATTCCCTCATTTTTCAAATCTAATTCTAGGGAGGTTGCATTTCCATTTACAAGCCACACTTGTTCAACCATCTAACTTAACCCTAGAACTTTTCAAACCTCTCCTCATGGCTTGTACTAAAATTTGGGCAGCATAACCTTTGTTTTCTCAACAATTCCCAATTTAGAACTAGGTACCTAATATACTTTCCAGCTCAACAATCCAATACATAGAGAGCATGCATATAATGAACTTAAGGTAATCATCAATTACAAATCATATTCATTACAATTCATGGAACTTAGCTTACAAAACACTATGATCACTCCCTTGGCTCCCATTAACAATGAGATAACCAAAAGCATGAGCATAGGCTAAGTCCATTCCAAATAAACATATCATGCATCTATCAATTGATTATTAATTACAATCCTGTACATGTGAGCTACAAAACAACATGTATAATATCAAAATACAGGATCCTCATGCATCACTACTAGTCCAAGTATGGCCACTTGCCACTGGTGGCTTCTGCAGCATCCTTACCTGAAAGGGGTCCCCACAACACGGGGTGAGATATACGAATATATCCAGTAAACCAGGGGTCCTTGGAGCATCTCTCCACCCCACAGTTCCATATCAGTGTAATAGCAATAACAATAATAATGCAGTAAATACATATCTATGCAAAGTGCTATAACATCTCCAGGAGAAATCCCTCGAGCTCTCAAGCTGTCCTAAGGAAACTCAGATGCAAATAGTCCTACTGGCCAGCTAACTACCAAGTATGATTTACGCATCGTCATGCAACATACCACATAGGGAAACATCATCCTATGTCACACCAAATGCATACAAATACGTATAACAAAGCATTACACTATTTCATTGCATTTATATACACTATAATCACCACTACCCTTTCAGGGCTTGGTGGAACAATCACGGAAATTACACCCAAGGTCTGAAGGCTTACCTCAAGCTTTAGCCAACCTTTGTTCCTACCAACCGGTTCCACAATCAATCAACTTTGGTTTCAAGCTATGGTTTACACAGCACACACCTACATCCAGGTGTCATAGCATCAATCATGCAATTCAATGAATATCTACATATATTCATCATCAATACAACAACACCACACTGTTGGGCAAGTGGCTTCTTACACAGGACGCTTACGGAACACCTAGAGGGGGGTGAATAGGTGTTCTAAACTTTTTCAAAATCTTTTTGAATTCAGTAAACAATTACACAATTTTTCTTCAATCCCTATATGCCCAAAATAGTTTTTCACAATGCTAAGGACAATGTAGTAATAGAAAGCGTACCTTAGCAATTTATAGAGTATAAACGCAGCAATTATAATAGAATTAGTGTAACTGTCAGTCTCTAAACAAAATATTCAGAAATTAAATCAGAGAGACAATGGACACACGATATATCCTGGTTCACACCCACTAAGCCTAAGTAGGGCGCTACGTCCAGACTAAAGTAGCTACATATATTTTATTTATCACAAGTGTACCAGTTTTACAAACACGCGTCACACATGCAATCAAACAAGATATCAAAAATCTTCCTAGTGCCTACACTGCTCCAAGCTCTGAGGATACTCTCAAGCCGAACCTACGGAGTTCACCAACTCCTCTCACACAAGACCTCAACTCTCCCTAGTGGATTCTTGAGGCTCCAGGCCTTGAGACACACTCTCAAGCCAAGCACAAGGTCGTCAACCCACTCGGTTGCACCCACACACCTAGGACAGATTTACAGCAAGCAACTACTCCACTTTAACAACCAATACAATATCTCAGATTTATAACAGAAATTTTTTTCAATCTATTACAATGTCCTATCACACTTGATATATCAAATAAAGCACAACAACAAGCTCCATAAATGATATGATGTATGCAGAAAATTTAGAGCACAAGTATGTGTATCACAAACTATAAATTTTCAGCAATAAGGAACTTGTATTTATTTATATCAAGTATCAAAATGATAGACACTAAAAATTCTGATTTAGAAAGAAATTATCACATTAAATCCAGAAAAATCATAATTGTAATTTCTCTCAAAATTTCACAAAAAATTCAGAATTAGTTCTAGATAAATCTTTTATTAACAAACCACAAGAAATCTGAATTTTAATCACAATACATCTTAATTAAAACAGAAAATTCAGATTTAATATTTTCAACAATAAAATTTCTAGAACAATTCAAGATTAGGTTTCTAAACAATAAATCCCAAACAAAAATCTGAATTAACACAATGTATAACAAGGTATAAAAATAAATTCAGATTTAATATTTTTAATCAATATTTCACAAAAATTATAAACACTAATCTTACACAAAGAGCATCAAAGATTTCTAAAATATTCACTCAAAATCAAAATAGCAAAAATCAGAATGCTCACAATATATCAACAAGAAAACTGAAAATTAATTCAATAATATCCAGTATCAAGATTATACCAAAGGATGCTCAAAACAAGGTTTAAGATATTACCTCAATAGATCTCAAATTTTTAGCTAAGTAAAACACAAAATGAGGTTAGGGTTCTTCAACCTTAGTTCCAAGAAACTTGAAATAAATGCTTCCAAATGGTTGAGAACTTATCAAAGAGTATAGAACGTGAGAGCTTTGAGAATTTTCTTGCAAACTTCCGAAGAACAAAGATGACTACCGAGAGAAAAATGAGATCGCGTTTTATTTTTTGAGAGCGTAAAGTGAAGAAGAAAGGTACTGTGAACATTTGAAAGCTGTATGTAATTGTAAAAGTTTCTCTCTCTCTCTTTTATTATTATATACAAAAGGATTCTGACTACGCTTTTGTTTAGAGGAAAGTGCAATTGCTTTTATTATTATTATTATTTAAAATCTAACTAACTTTGTATACTATAGCTTTTAGCCTTTTAAACAAAGATGAATCTCTGTGTACGTGCGTTGGACAAAACAATTGGTTTGGATTTTATTTTCTAAAATCTGTTTATTTAATTTTTTATTATTATTATTTTTTATTAAATCACTCAACATAGCTAAATACATGTTATGCAATGAAATGCAATGGAGCTTGGAATCATGCTTAGTGATATATCTAATGTGTTACAAAAAATCTAAAATACCTAATCACTTGTATCTTCACATCCATCTTCAATTTGAGACTTCTTGTAAATCCTTTGTCATCATCAAAATATATATTCCATTATGCTTAAGAGGTCTTCACACACCACAATTGGCATGGACTTACCTATCCCAAAGAGCTAATCAAGCTCCATTGCTTGCTCCAATGGTTGATCACTTATGGTTGGTCCAAATGCCTTAATCCTAGACATCATTAGGACACAATCATCAATCAACCAAACCAAACCTTTTATCATTAATGCAAGAAAATCCAATATCAAGCATTAAATCTTGCCATTTTTTCAAAGTATAGTCATATAACTATCTAAGCTCATTTCCACCGATTAAATGTCATTCCTAGCATTTTTCACAACATACACTAAGCTCCATTCTTTCTAGAACATAGCTAATTTAACCACATTTCATCAAAACTCCAATTTACTATTCATTGAACCCTAACTCATGCAATTTTCCATGAAAATAAGGTTCAAGGGGTAGAATCTTACCACCAATGGTTGCACAACCAAGGGTTGATGGCTCCTCAAGCTTCAATGGTGGTTGAAGCTCTCAAAACCTCAAAATTTCACAAAGGGTCGAATTTTTTAGGGGAAATATCTCACCACACAAAGCTCCCCACTAAGAACTAAGCTTGGATTATGAAAGAGGACGAGATTCTAAGCGATTTAGGCTTTTGAATCACTCAAAACGGTCAAGGTTTCCTCCCTCCTCTCTCTCTCTTCCTCTCTCTCCCTTTCTTCTTCTTCTTCTTCTTCTTCTTCTTCTTTCCTTTCTCTATTTGCTCGACTGTTTGGGGTGGGAAATGGGGTTCTTTATTTGCTTTCTAAGTCACTTACTTAGTTAAGTGACTTATGTGGGTATTGGTTCATCTATCTATTCAACTCCATTAATTATCAAACTCTACCCAAAAGTCTGGAATATTATTCTAGGAATATTTACAATTTTATTTTTATATTTTGGGCACTTTCGCCAGTACCCATTTATACCCCTTAATTTTCACTGAGTACACTTTTTAACTTCAAAGTGACTCAGATTCATTTAATCAAGCCTTATACTTAATTTTACTCACTAAAACATGCTTAATTATTTAATTACATGTAATTTGCTAATTAATTAGGTTAGGACTATTATACTAGGTTAAAAGATTAAGAGAGAAAAAATTTGAGAGAAGATTTTTTGAGAGATTTGAGCAAAGCTTTATGTTTTGTATTTGAGAGATCTCTAGAGAGAGTTTGAGTGAAACATCTCTAGAGAGGTTTGATTATCACCATTGTTAGAGAGATTGAGTTAACCATCACATTGGTGATTCTGATTATTTGTAACCATTATTTTCATAGTGAATTTTTGATCTGGACTAGGTCCCGTGGGTTTTTACTTCTTCATTGAAGAATGTTTTCCCACGTTAAATCTGGTTGTGTTCTTCTTCTCTCTCTTGTGTGTGATTTTTCGTTTTTTATTTTCCGCTGCGCTGCCCGACCTGGTGAAATTCAGGCCGAGGTATTGCCGAGATCCGAGATCAGGATCTTGCTGACTGACTTCCGCAAAGAAAGGCCCCTAAGCCGAGCTTGAGGGAACCAAGTTCCCAACAGTGGTATCAGAGCCCGAGTTCAACGGGTTCTGAGGGAGACGAGATGGAGACCAGTGGCATAACCAATGATGGAGACATGTTCAAGCTGACCGCAGACAATTTCACCTATTGGAGACCGATGATGGAAGATCATCTCTATTGTAAAGATTTACATGAGCTTATTATCCTTGATAAGAAAATGGAAGGCAAAACCGATCAGGAGTGGCAGATCCAGAGTCGTAAGGCGGTAGCTACGATCAGAAAATATATTGACAAAAGCCTCATTGAGCACGTGTCCGAGTTCACAAACGCGTATGAGTTGTGGACGAAGCTGGAGTCCATGATTCAGAAGAAGACTCCCAGGAACAAAGCACACCTGGTTCGCCGACTTGTGAAGTTGGAATACAAGGATGGGATGAGTATGATTGAACACCTCAACACCTACAAAGGTATTGTGAATCAGCTGTCAAAGGCTAATATGAAAATTGATGACGAGATGCAGGTCTTGCTGCTGTTGAGCTCGCTACCAGAAAGCTGGGATACTCTGGTGGTGACCTTGAATAATTCGACTCCAGATGGAAAATTGAAGATGGATGTCGTGACAGACAACCTCTTGGGTGAAGAAGCTAGGAGAAGAGAACGAGGTATTTCGAGCACGTCTGAGGCCAACGTTGATGAGAACAGAGGGAAATCCGACTCCCGAGGTAGAAGCAAGAGTCGGGGTCGAGATCGTGATAGAAGAGGAAAGTTCAGAGGTCGGTCAAAGCCGAGATATGAGTTGAATTGTTTTAACTGTGGAAAGACAGGTCATAAGGAGTCAGACTGCTGGACCCTACAGAACGACGAGAATAACGGCTCTGTGAAGCCGGATCAGATTATTCCCAAGAAGAGGGAAGACAAGAGCACCACTGCGGTGGCTGCCAACCCAGATGCCGAGATATTCCTCCTAGGTGAGGATAATTATTTGAATGTTGCATATGATGAATGCACCTGGATTGTTGACTCTGGTGCCTCCTTCCACGTTACTTCACACAAAGATTTTTTTCTCCTCTTACCGAGGTGGTGATTTTGGAGTCGTGAATATGGGAAATCAAGTGACCAGTTGGATTGTTGGTGTCGGCGATGTAACCCTGACCACAGATGTCGGATGCCGACTTGTGTTGAAAGATGTAAGGCATGTACTTGACATGCGATTGAACCTAATCTCGGTTGGCAAGCTTGATGATGCCGGGTTAGTGAACTACTTCGGTAGTGTTAGATGGAAGCTGGCCAAGGGAAAGTTGGTCATGGCCCGAGGTAAGAAGGAAGGCTCCTTGTACGTGATGCAAGGAAAGATCAATGGCAGAGAAGCCAATTCTGTTCGAGATGAACCTAGCTTGGAGCTATGACACAAGTGTCTCGACCACATGAGCAAGAAAGGGCTCCAGATCCTGAACAAGAAAGAATCATTGACCGGGTTGAAAGACCAAGCGTTGGAGAGTTGCACGCACTGCGTAGTTGGAAAGCAGCACCGGGTTTCTTTTGTGAGACCAGATCAACCCAGACGATGCAGGTATATTCTTGACCTCGTCCATACTGATGTCTGCTCCATGTCGGAAAGATCCCTTGGAGGAGCTCAGTACTTTGTTTCATTTATTGATGACCATTCCCGCAAAGTATGGGTATATTTGTTGAAGTCTAAAGACTAGGTACTCCAATCCTTTAAAGAATTCCATGCAATGGTTGAAAGGGAGACTGGAAAGAAATTGAAAGTGGTTCGATCTGATAATGATGGTGAGTATTGCGGCCCATTTGATACTTATTACAGAGCGGCCAAGATTCGACTAGAGAAGACACCCCCCAAAACTCCACAGTTGAATAGACTTGCTGAGAGGATGAACAGAACTATTGAAGAGAAGGTACGAAGCATGTTATCCAATGCCGGGTTATCGAAATCATTCTGGGGAGAAGCCGTCAGAACTGCTGTCGACTTAATTAACCTCTCATCATCACGGCCACTTGAAGGAGAAATTTCAGAAGAAGTCTGGACAGGTCGGAAAGCAGCCTATAATCAATTGAAGGTATTTGGATGCCGAGCCTTCGTGCATATCCGTAAAGATGAAAGGGCTAAACTTGATCCAAAGAAAAAAGAATGCATCTATCTTTGTTCGCCGAGATGTGAGTTCGGGAACCGGCTTTGGGATCTAATCAATAAAAAGATAGTGAGAAGCCGAATGTGGTCTTTCATGAAGATGAGAACATTCATGACATCTCGAAGCCCAAAGTCCAAGTTACTGTCAGAAGAGAAGAACCCATCCCTCCTATCCGAGCTGAAGCAGGGGGAGAAAATCATGAAAATGAAGAAATTGATGACCAACAACCAGCTGAGGATGACCAAGACACTGAGGTCCGAGTTGATGATGAGATCCGGGATGAGAATGATGAACCGGGTTCTTAAGCTGAAGAACAGCCAAGATATCCAACCCGAGAAAGAAGACCCTCTACAAGATACTCATTTGATGAATACACTGTTGTTGCTGAAGACAGTGAGCCTCAGAGTTATGACGAGGCTGTAACGAGCTCAGAGAAAGAAGAACGGGAAAAAGCAATGCGAGACGAGATGAAGTCTCTGCACGAGAATCAGACTTATGAGCTGACCGAGTTGCTTGAAGGAAGACGAGATCTGAAAAACAAATGGGTCTACAAGATTAAGAATGAATAGAACAGGCAGAAGCCGAGATACAAAGCCCAGATTGTAGTGAAAGGCTGCAATCAGAAGAAAGGAGTAGACTTTGAGGAGATCTTTTTTCCTGTGGTGAAAATGACCTCGGTCCGAACCGTGTTAGCCATGGCGGCTTCGATGGACCTCGAGGTAGAACAAATGGACGTGAAGATGGCATTAATTCACTTAGCAAATAATGCGTTCAGAATTGTGGCTACTAGAACCGCTAGCTCATCGGAAGTTCCTTGCTTGAAACTACTGGACAAATTCACAGGAACAATACTATTATGGCTACTACCAGCATATATATAAACACTAGCCGAATTCTCCATATAAATGTCCAAGTTTGATGACCCATATTTGTTATGCCCAAATCAAACTCATCATTTATTTTTAGGTTCAGCCTCTAGAATACCAAGCTCTTAGATTTTTACAATCTATTCATTTAAAACCACTAAAGATAACTTAGTTCTGCTTTAATGTAAAGCCACTAAAAGTAGCGTGCACGAAATCAAAAATTTGAAACTTTTAAAATACAGATTATATCTAATTAAATATTTCCTTCGCGGGGTTCATTAAATTTTGGGTGACCGCAATGAAAAGCAAGAAGGAGACAAAAGGCTAAACAGAAAAAGTATCGTTCAGTAGATGATTTTTGTAACCATCAACGCAAAGCACGCATAATGAAACAAGGAAAGTGTGACGAAGTCGTAAAACACAAATTTGAGTTAGCCTGTTTCACGTGAGAGTACTGATTTCATTCTTTTTGAAATAAGAGAAGATAAATCGAGGCAAAATTCAAAAAATAAAAAAAGCATGCACGAGTGGGAAAAAAGAAAGTGTTAGTAAATTACAAGATTGAGGTGTAGCAAAATACACGGGAAAAAATTGAGTATCATCTCTAGTAACTAGACCTTTCATACAATAATCACACCATAAAATTGTGGTTTTAGGCTATGATAGCTAGGCTTCATTGGGAAGTACCATAAGTATCGTACCCTCATTATGAAAATGTTGGAATTTATAGGAACGAGAAATGAAACAGATGAAAACTTCATTTGGAAGTACCATACTAGAAAAAATTGCTCTTTTCCCTTGTTTAATTACAACTAGCACCGTCACCATGATACTTATTAAGTGGCTAAACCTACAAGTATATAAATGGTTACATGGTCACAATAAACACATAGGTCAAACACGAGTGAAATGCAAATCACACGATGAAGCCACCCACTCTTAAATCTCTATATGCTCTTGCCTTCGTTATTTTCTATCCATTTGTTGCAATAGCCACATCGCAGCCTAAAAAAACACACTTCTCAGTTCCTGCTGTAATAGCTTTTGGTGATTCAATTTTGGATACTGGAAACAACAATTATATCAACACAGCAATAAAATCAAATTTCAAACCATACGGGAGGGATTTCAAAGGAGGAATACCCACAGGAAGGTTTAGCAATGGCAAGATCATTTCAGACTTTTTCGGTAGTCCTAACTCATTAACTCATGTTCAAGCACATTCTACTTATATATGGTTCATTATGCTAAATGATTGTCATATTATTTTTCAGCTGAAGATGTGGGTGTGAAGGAGCTCTTGCCACCTTATCTTGATCCAAATCTGAAGCTTCAAGACCTCTTAACGGGTGTGAGTTTTGCCTCTTCTGGTTCAGGATATGATCCTCTTACAAACAGAATAACAGTACGTATTAATTCTTATAACTTGACCTCTTCTGTATCTTTTCTTCTGTTTATATCCAAGTTTTAATTCTACTTGCTAGTATTTGTTTTTAAATATAAATTGTAACCATTTTTCTAATTGTTGTTGTATCAGTCAGCACTGTCATTAGAGGATCAACTAAAGATGTTCAAAGATTACATTGAAAAGTTGAAGGAAGCAGTGGGGGAAGAAAGGACAGCTCACATTCTAGAAAAAAGCATATTCATCTTGTTCATGGGAACAAATGATGTGTCAGTGACATATTTCTTGTCTCTATTTAGGAGGCCTTGGATTAACATCGATGACTATACGAGTACGCTGGTCGATCAGTCATCAAATTTTCAACAGGTATGCTATTAGATGCAAAAATGACAAACTAATGAACAATTTTATTATTTTTGATCTAGACAATGTAGATTTTGCATTATGTCCAAATATAAGTTCATAAGCATCTTTTTCTTTTTCTTGGCAAGATGTTATTCTAAGAGAAAAATTGGTTCAATATTTGATATTCGTCTGCACAATGGGTAGCACATGCCGCCTTATTATAAATCCTGCTCCAATTATTCTCCAAGCAATATAAATTTAAGATCCAACTTTTTATAGCAGAGTATGTAGAGCTCAACCACAGGGTTACAATAAAATCGAGTCTATGAAAGAGTTTTTCCAATAGTTTGACTTAGATATAATTTAAGGAACGAATTACATGTTAACTATATATGACACTCCTTTTATTAAAGAAAATCACACTTTGATGGCAATGTCATGAAAATTAATGGCAGGAACTTTACCGATTGGGAGCAAGAAGGATTGGAGTGTTCAGTTTATTACCAATAGGGTGTCAACCAGTGCAAAGAACAACATATGGAGGCATAGAAAGGGAGTGTGCAGAATCAGTAAACGAGGCAGCCATGATGTTCAACTCTAAGCTTTCTTCTAAAATGATGGATCTTAAAGAACAACTTCCAGACGCTAGGCTTGTCTACCTTGACACCTATAATGAATTTCTTCCATTTATCCAACACCCCACTCAGTTTGGCAAGTTTCTTACTCTAATTATAGTATCTTTAAAATGTCTTCACAATAAAGTAAATTTATAGTATCATAGCCTCCATTCGAGAAATTAGTGTTTTGATTATTATAATATGAGAAAAATTCTTAAAGGTGTGTAATTACAATCAAATTCCCATTCGAGTAACTGTATAATTGCTCGTGTATCAGGATTTGAAGTGGGGGATAAAGGATGCTGTGGCACGTTAAATGTAGAAGTTGGTTTTCAATGCAATTCTTCCCAAGTACAAATCTGCAAAGATGCATCTAAATATGTATTCTGGGACGCTTTTCACCTAACCGAGAAAACTGACTACATACTTTGCTCACAAATCATCAAAAAGAACTACGACAATTTTTTCTGAAACTTTTTCCTTATGATGTATCCTCCAGTTACACAGTGGGCATTCAAAATGTAACAGGAGTAAAGCGTAATGATGATAGTTTCAAAAATGATATTTACGCATAAAATATCTTATATCATTTTCAATTTGTACTCGTTTGGGAAAAAAAAGAAGCTAAAGATAGTATGTATTGAAATGAGTGCATTTTTCTTGTTTATTATGTAAAAGAAGTTGTTATAATCATTTAATGATTTTAGCTTTTATACATATATAATCTCCCCTTAGGCAAATACATCAAAAATTTGCTTTAAATTATGAAAAGCAAATGAAAAAGAAAGCGGGGGCGAAACACCATAGCGAACACTACTATAGCTAGCTAGTTCGAACTTCGAATTAAATATCAGATCCCATGTAATGAATAGAGAATACTGCAAACAAATAAACACATTATGACGTAATTTAAAAATTAGAACTACACATGTTCATATTTATGGTACCCATTACATTTATATTTTATGGGGAAAATATCTATCATTTAAAAGGACGGTCCTTTTAGATGAATGTAATGTGTTTTTTTAAATTTTAAATTACAAATTTTTTCATCCACACTCTCTCTGTCATAGTTTATTTTTTTATCTCTCTTAAAAGGATATACGTGGGTGTTCTTTAAGAGGACACACACTTTTTTCATATTTTATTATAATATATCAAAACGTGGATATAGTGCATTTTTTATTTTCGTAGACATAAGCTATCATATGGATCCTAATATCTCAAAGATCCTTTGTTTTCTTTGTAAATATGGGTTCCAGGCTTTCCCAATGCTACATCGATTTCATTATTGTTTTGCTCCTCGTGCAAAACTTGTATGTTTGCTAAGGCTTTAATTATTAACATTAAATTTTTGTGAGTTTTGTATCATGATATAATTTTTTTTTATAAATGGAGAATGAAACAAGTTTGTATCAAGGGCTGTTTGGTAGCATGCGAAAAAAAAATTCCCTTGAAAGGTGGAATTGGATAAAATATTTGACCATATTTGATAGGTGGAAGATTTAAAAACGAGATTGGAAAATTTTCTTCCCATCAAATTATTTTCAACATCAACATGTTATAAAATTTGACTGCTAAGAATATGGTAAAAAAAACTTTCGTTGGTGGGGTAAAGTTTTAACAGTTTTTGAAGATCAAAAAACCTTTCTGAACTTAGTAAAATTATGAAAAATAATATTCAAATTAACCCCACCGACGGAAGTGTTTTGACAGGATTGATTTTTAACACTAATTTGAATATTAACTGAACAAAGTGTCAGGATGAATGTATACAAATTTCAACAATATTCAAATTCATGGATATTTTCATAATTTTTTATTTTTTTTTACAATCAATTAAACATAGCTAATTAGTAAAATTAACCTAAGTTTTCTGACAAAATTTTAGGCTATCAAAAACCTTTTCATTACTTACCAAGTAACAAAAATTTCTAATCATATTCTCAGAAAACTTTTTTTTTCGGTAAAAAAAAATTTCTGTCGTACCAAACGTCCTTTTTGAAGCACCGTATATATCCTAAGCTTTAGATTGGTGATCAAACTCCTTGGTTGACCGTTGACCAATCCACATAATCTGGTTTAGGGCCTAACTGCACAGCAGTAGTGGCGAATTAGAGGATAAAATATAACTAAAGAGCTTTACATAATGCCTAGTCTAGTCGTAATCCCAGACTCCAATTCTCACAAATTTTCAGTATTGTCTGCTTTTTATCATTTATAAAAGGATTTTGGGCCTAACTAATGGTCTTGCGACTTGTATTAACATAAATCCTTTGAAAAGCCCAATTGTCTTCCCTGAATAGTCCAAAAAACTAGACAGCATTGTCTGCATCACCATCACTTCATCGGCTTCTTAATCGTACAGAACAGTGATGCCAGTGTTAAATGATTCGGACTTAGCATTGTTTTCCAGCAAAAGAACTGCTTAGATTTTTATAAAGCAAAGACAATAATAGATAAAAAGTTGCTACCTCAATTTTGTTTTCTTAGGTTTTTTTTTTTTTTGTTGAATTGTTTGTTCCCGAAATTTATGCATATATGTTTGTTGAGCTCTATAATTGATTGCCCTATGTAGGACGTGGGGGCCACTATTGACATTGATTTTCAATGATGCTTTACAAATTTACCTTTCTTGTCCACTATTCCATTTACATAGTGGTACTAATCACTAGACCATTTCGTGGGTTAATTATAACGGTTTCAAAAGGTCAGTGACTCTAGAGTTACAACAGTGGGCAAAATGTTACTGTTTACCAACTTTTTTACTTAAATGCTACGCGAACGGTGTTATTTTTTAATCTGTCATAAGGACAAGTTCACTAGCCGGTGTAGCAAACTCGGTTTGCTGACGTGTCACGTTTCTAGTGGATACCAACTTGATTTTAACCAAGTTCGTCTACATGGTAGGCGACCTTCATTTTTTTTATTATTATTTTTTTTAAATTTGATACTTGTTATCCATTAAAAATGTGACACGTCAGCAGACCGAGTTCGCTACACAGGGTAGCGAACTTGCCCCCGTGGCATATTGAAAAATAACATTGTTCGCGTGTCATTTAGGTAAAAAAGTTGGTGAACAGTTGCATTTTAGTCAGTGTTCCTAGAGTTAGCGCAGGATAAATTTTTTAGGGGGTTTACTAATCTCATGCTATATGAGATAGTACTCTTATGTGGGTGATACAAATATGTGAAATTCATAATTTAAAAAGAAAAGAAAATTGACACAAAATTCTATGAATGTATGACATGAGATAGGCATCTTATGTAGCATGAAATTATCATTTCCCATTTTTTAGTGCCAAAAAATTATGATTTTTAGAAATTCATCATTTTCTCACGAATATTATTAAAAAACTATTTCATAGATCAAAGTATTATATAAATTTTGTTCCAAAAAAATGTAAAAAAAATTTAACACTTATTAGGATTCCAAGAAAATCGTCCTTTTGATGATATCTTTGAATGGCATTTTAGAAAGAAAAAAAAGTGTACACAAAATAAAATTTTAGAAAAATTAGGTTCTCCAAAAAAATTTCAAAATCTTGTACCAAATAGAATTAATAGTATCACTTTTCTTGAAATCTCAAAAAATTCCATAAAATCAAACACCGTAATGGAATTCCTTAATAACCTGAACAGAAAGGCCATGACTCGGAAGACTGGAAGATTGGAAAACAACAGATACAATGATGTCCAATGTCTAATTGTCAATGACCCATGGCATGCTTTGTCAAGGTCCACCAACAACGTGGGTGGACGATAATTACGGTTGTTCAGTTTAGATATTTTCATTTTTTTTTTAATCTCTTTAAACTTTCAAATTTTAAGAACACATATAATATTGCACATAAGCCACAGTTAGAGAGAGAGAGGATTGAAGATGAGATTTAATCTTAAATTTTTACTTTCATTTATAAAGAACTTTATCGATCGAGTTAATCTTATAATTAATTTTTAATATAAAAATTAAATTCACGGAAGTGCCTCATGTCTCAACCACTAGGGACTGTTTGATTACTATAAATAAAAATCGTTTTGAAGAGGGTAGGAGATTCTTTCTTTTTTTTCTGGTAAGCGGAGATTCTGAGCTCATAGCGTAAATGCGTAAATGTTTGAATACTGTTCTTAAAAATAATTTTTTGATTTTCAAAATAAAAAAACTAATTTGATAAGATTTATTTTGTAAAAAAAAAATTAATTTTTTTTTTTAACTTTTAACTTTAAAAAAATACAGAATTTTCATAACTATTCTATAAAGCAGAACCAAAAAATCAAAACATAATCAAATGGACTCAATACTCTCCATTTATCTTTCATCCTCTTTCTAAAATAGAAATCAAGTAATTTAAAAATAATATTTTTAATGATTAGGATTTTATTTAAGTTTTTTATTAAATAATATTTTATATTTAAGTCAAACGACTATATAATTATGTAATTCATGTATTATGTTTTATTATATAGAGGGAAGATCCACTTACCACCACTAAAGTATACCACATTTACAACTAATTTGATCACCGTTGGATTAAAATTAAATCCAATGACTTACGATTAATTCTTATAATCTTAATTTTTTACCTTTCACTCTCTCACATATTCTCTCATCCTCTCACAACTCTTTCTAGGTCCTTTGTATTTTATCCTCTCTTTTTTTAGGGTTACAACGCTGAATCTATTTCTTTATGATCCTTTGATCATCCTTTCTTGAATCATGTTTTTCTTATTATGATTTTCATACTCGCAAAGTTGCGGCTGCATCACGAGAGGGTTCCGGACATTTCAGAGTCAACCACTTATCTATGTTTGTATCTAAATACTGCTTCCAACAATTGATGCAGTATGGATGATCATTTAAGCCTATTAGACATTCAATAATTAAAAAAATAGTTAAAATAATATTACTTTTTTATAGCCAAAATAATATTACTTTATTATTCAAAATCATTAAAATGATCATTTACTTTTTATTTTATTTTTTGTGGTACACAATGATCATTTATTTTAAAATATAATATAGGTAAGCATGTAAGATTATAAGTCCGACATATAAAAGAAAGTCTATAGCATACTTACTAAATAGGTTTTTTTTAGGCCTGAGCTTGTTCTATTTGACTTTATACAATAGGCCTTGTCTGGCCTTATGTAGTCACATATCACTACAAGAAAAGGTGTATTTCGCGACTGAATTTCAACGACGGTTGACGGTAAACCGTCGCAAAATATGATATCACGACTGTTAGTACGACGTCCTAACCAACGGTCGTTAAATATAACAATTCTACGACGGATATCAACGACGGTTTGTAACCGCCTCCAAATATATCATTTCACGTCGGTTGAAACTGACCCTGAATATACAATTTCACGTCGGTTGGGCTAACCAACTCAGAATATAACATTCCACGACGGTTTGGCTAAATGTGAAAAAAAAATTAAACATAATGACAGCCAACAGCCTATTTACA